AGTTTAGTAATATAATTAAATAGAAATTAAATTGGGGAAAATGCATAATCATATTCTTATTAATATGTTAACTTTGTAAAGATTATTTGCCTATTGCAGGCATTGAGCAAGATAACTAGGGCAAGTTAATTAGATTTCAAGTGAATTGCCACCATGTTAATTCATATTTTATAAGAGAGGTAATTAAAATTTACTATGTTATAGCTACCAGTATGGTATTTTATTATATCCCATACTAACATTTCCTTATAAGTAATTTTAAAACATCAGCTTAATTGATTAGTAAAGTACAATAGTGTGACTGGGCATTTATTGTCAATAAAATCCAGATTATGAAGAGAATATTTATTATTCTTAAAGTCATTCACAGCACAATTTTAATGATACAATACATTTTATCAGGTTTTTTTATAGCCATTTCGTGCTGCAAATGGTTTTCTATATGTGTATTTAAATAAATATTGGTTTTACATCTATTTCTCTAATCTTATTCATATAAGAAAACATAATTATCATGGTCTTCGGACTTGCATGTCAAGCTCAATGGGTACTGTAATATGTCACAAGTTTTATGTACTGGGATTTTATTTGGTCAGAACACCATAGCCGTTTGCCAAACATTTCCTGTGTTTGAACAAGGGAAAGGATGCAAGGGGTGATTCTGTTTCTTTCATGAAAGATTAATTATAAGAAAGATGATGAGATAAATATTAAAATGTGTGAAGTCAGGTCAGGTCTTCCCTCTGGCAGGTAAGCTACCCTCTTGGTCATCTGCCATTTAGAGAAGAGAAATTTCATTGCTCTGTTGACTCAGAGTCTTAGCAGGGTCCCAGTAGTTAATGAGTCTAGTGTGTGCCCACTGAAATGTGTTGCCTAGAAACTAGTGAGAAATCCTATCAGTGAGCTGTTAATCAAATCAGCTTGAGATAGCAGCTATCTTGCTGAGAGTTTCCGTGCTGTTGGTTAGAAGGACTCCCTCTTCTTTTCCTTCAGTGATTGAGGTCAACGAGGAGATATGGCTCATTTGGCTAAGGGCAGGGTCTCAAACATGTTTTCAATAACATCGTGAGGAATGTATTAATGTTTCCACATTTCACCTGAGGGAAGAAAAGTGTAGCTATGTAATGTGCAGTGCCTAACGGGTCCTAACGGGCCCTAACTGGTCCTAATGGGTCCAGGCTTCCCCAGTGAGTGATGCTGATTGCATTTCCCTTGTGATTGCTTGCTATCAACCTCTCTCAACTGCTGCTCTTGACCCAAATTTCAACCACTTATTTCCATCTTCCCTTCTGTGGTGTTTAGGCTCTCTGCACCACTTTACCCAAGAGGAGTTACAGATGATAGATACCACAACTTGCTGCCCAAATCATCTTTTGGGAACGAAGGATTTAATCTCCCGGCTCCTGGAGCTTCAGCTTTCAGCCCCTCTCCAGGTACTGCCTTGGGTACAGAGACCTGTCTCACCCAAAGTCATGTCCACTTCCAGGACAGCCTACAGTCAATGACTAATCAAAGGTCAAATGAACCAACTATGTAACCCCAAAGTGGAGAAAGCTTTGCAGGAATATCCCATCTTCAAAACTCTCTGCAGGGTCACCTGTGAATTCTATTGAAATCACGTTGAAGTTCAGTTTCTGATTTTGCCCAATCTTACTTTTTTCTTTCCCTTCCATAGGAAGCGCATGTTCCTTCCAGTGCACTCCCTGATTAACTTCTTGCATGTGAAACTTCCCAGGGAAACCAATGGTGGAAGCCTTGTGCTGCTTCTAGGTCTTCTAGAGTTGCCATTATTTTGTGGAGGCCATAGAGCTAACTCCACACCAATGCTATTTTTTATTTTCACTTTGAAAATACTTCCTGAATGACTTAACTAAATGAAAACAACAGCTGAATCTAGATGATAGGGTTAATAAAAGAGATGGAGTTTATGGGAGTTCAGACAGCTCTAATCTTAAGGGGCATTAGATAAAATAAGGGAATCTTACAATGAGAGGATTGTTACACTCAGATCTTGAATACATTGATTAGACATCAAGGATATAAATTTAAGTGTCTATCTGAAAACAAGAAGGAACATTTCCCTTTGCAATCATCAGTGTTTGATAATTAGCTACAAGCCCCAGAGGAAAGTATGTTTTGCCTTACAAGCTTCAATAATTGGATGATTATTGAATTTTTATTTCATATTTTATGTCAAAGACATCAAGTTTTCTACAGAGAAAGGGGATTGAACAAGTGAGTAAATGTCTCTTGTAGATGCTACCAGTGTAGAACACTTAAGCTTATTACCCTTTATACAAAATGAAGTCATTTACTGAACTTCTTAAGTGCCTTTGGCTAAACATATTCCGGACAACAAAATGGAGCATGGTGCCAAGAGGAAAACAAAATTCTTTCATATTAATACTTCTGAAGACATTTCATGGAACATTTCCAAATATTTTAAAACAAAACAACAAAAAACTCTAAGCAGATTTTTGTAAGGTGTTTTATTTTAACATCCAGGTACTATCTAAACAGCTATGTAACTAGGAGGTCTCTATGAGCTATTATCTATGTTTCTTACACAGATAAGATATCACACAATATCTATGTTTCCCAAACTAGCTATGGAAGATTCCTATTTTCTCTGAATATTTTCAGTCTGAAATTCAGGATGTTTCTGTTTCATTTTTTTTTTTTTGGTCATACCTTCCTGATTCTATTAAATCATAGCATTCCCTGGCCCACCCTGGCCCCCTCAGGTAATATTTACTGAGGTCTAAAAACTAAAGATTAGCTAGGGTTGTATGTAAATGAGAAGTCTCTAATAATGTGCATTAAGGAAAGTCATTGCCTTCTGTGTCCATGGAGAAGTCTCTGTGATGTGAATTTATTTGCTTTTTCCCTTAATTTGCTTAAATAACAGTATTAATTATGACTTCAGACAAACAAAAATATTATTGAAGATGACCTTTGAAACAAAGCAGATTCCCTTCCCACCATCTGCTCTTTTTCTTCTTACTTTTTATTTATTTCTTTGCATTTATACTCCTTGAGTTTATTGTCAACACTGATAGATGCTAGTAATACAAAGACTGGCACATTGACTTTTCAACAAATGTTTATGGAACATCTATTATGTGCCCAGACATGTGTTAGAAATTTGGAATACATTTGTTAACCACGTAAGCTTTTCCCTTCCATAATAATGAAGGGGAAGGGGAACCTTCTTTCTATCCTCCTAGGTTCTGTGGCTGAGCCTAAGATATAAATTGACATAAGACAGGTTAACAAGATGGAAGACATTTTTTTTTTTTTTTAGCTGAGTCATCCTGTCACCTGTTGGCAGCTCCACGGCAGCTCAGTTCAAGCTCAGAATCAAACCGGCAACCCTGTTGCTCAGAGCTCGCACTCTTGAGCGAGCTCTTAACCAACTGAGCCACTCGACCAGCCCTCAAAAATTTTTATTTCATATTTTTATGTGTGTATAGGAGTCTTTAAAAAAAATTAAGACCCAAGGAAGTTGTTAAGCCCCAAAACTTATATACCTTGTAAACAAAGAACAGTTGTGGGGATGTGACAAGGCAAAGGGGTTTGTAAATTATGGAGCAGTAACTAGGAATATGTGGGGGAAACAAATGGAAAATAAAGGTTATTTCAGTAGGGTTGCTTGTAAAGATCATTTCAATATTGCCTCCTAGTCAGGTGATACAATGTCCTACTCAATATAAGGAGGGCACTTTTCTCATGAGAAATTTTATAACTGCTGTTTCTCAAGTGTCTTCAGCTCAACATAATCAATATGCCAAAGCAGCATATTTTGGAGTATCATGTTCTGAAACCCTTCACTAACATAAATGATCCCTGATTTCACTACGGAGTAGGAAACGCAGACATGTGACAGCCATGCATCATACGTGTTATACATATTAGTTGCTATACACAAATGAGTTTGAGTACTCTCCAATTCTACTTTTGGGATTGAGGAAACTATCAACAAGAAAAAGAGAAATCCAGGCAAGGGAACAGCTGTGCAGAGATCTAGGGGCTTGATGGTGAAATCCTGGAACAGCATAGTTATGGGGTGCTGAGATATATGGCTTGCCAAGAAGAAACATGGAAAAAGAGGCCTGTTTAGCAAAGGATCATATTTTAAAAGGGCTATATCATCACCTTGCATTTCTACTCAGATATCTGGTGATGCAAATTATGTCAGAGAAAGCAAACTGGCCATCAAACACTTGGGGTACCCTTCTGTAGTGTGAAATTACAGCTAAAAATGGCTTTCCAGCCAGAGACTACATGTTTTAGTCTCTGATGAATCTTGGTGGTGATTAGCATTCATTAATTGAATGTAAGCAGCAGGGTCACTCTCAGGTCAAGGTGGGGAGGGAACAATCATTAGTCTTCTCAACTGCCCATCAGCTCCTGTTTAACTAATGACACCCACAGCAACCTTGGAAGCTACATGCAGAAGATGGCTGTCTCCAGCAACCTGGGTTCTTGAATGACTGGATTAACCATAGCCCCGCCCCGCTAACCAAGAACACCTACATTGGACACAAGTGAGAAATCAACTTTTATTCTGTTATGGCACTGACATTTTCCATTTTCTTGGTCACTGCAGCTAGCTCTACTCTAACTCTACCCTAATTAATGGAAGGGGGCCATTAGAAAAATGTTCATATAGGCATGGCATAATCAGATGTATGCTTTTTTAAAAAATTAGTTTCAAGTATACAAAACAATGTAATAGTTAGACATTTCCACCCCTCACAAAGTGATAATCCCCCTCCCTCAATCTACCTCCCCTCTGACATCATATATAGCTGTTACAGTTCCATTGACTCTATTCCCTATGCTGTACTCCACATCCTGTGACTATATATGTATTAAATTAGTTGTATGTTTTTGAAAAAGGAAGATGGATTGGTGTGGGCAGGAAGATCATAGTATTGGAAGGCTGCAATCAGCTACCGGAAGATTAGGTCCTGTATCAAGGAATTCTACAGCAAAAAGAAAGATGGTCTCTGGGCAACATCTGGGTGGTCCATCCTACAGGAATTTCCCCTACCTTAGTTAGGGGTAAGTGCAGATGACTCCCAGCTTTTAAAATATGCATGGCAAGTTAAAAAACTAATAATACAAAAATATCCAGTTAATAATAAACTTGTGGTAGGGTAAACAGGCGTATTAGATTTGGAGCACCCAAAATATAATCATTAGGGGTGACTGTGTTCTGGACCACCCTATTAAAGCATTTGAAATGAAATATTCTTTTTTACCAGAAAATCAACATCCATTGTAAAAAAGGAATACACTTGGTTCAAGTCTTCTTCGTAGGAAAAGTTTCTTTTTTCATATGAACGTTAGCCACCTCGTAAAGATAGAGCTGCCATGATATATTTCAGGCAAAAATGCCTAGAGACTTATAAATGCATGGAGAGTGGAGCTTGTAGAGAGTAGAGAGAAATCCCCTCTGCCACCGTGAAGAATGCCAGATCATGAATCTTCATGGAGGTGACATTACAAATTGGACCCTGGAAGAAGGGAAGAAGTCAAGGAAAGAAGTCGTTATAGAATGAAGGATTGTGGCAATTACGGTTATGGGTAAAGAAGGGTTTAGTTTTTGCAATGCAAATAAATCAGGAATGTGTTTTAGGCAATAAAACAGTGTGCCTCTTGGAATTTGTCAAGTTTTTGCCTTTTTTGTTTCCTTATAACCTAATGCTCTAGTCAGGAGGTATCTTGTAAAATGTACAGAGAAAAAGGTAACTGCTAAAATGTGAAAAGAGGCTTACACGTACACCTAGCCGCCTTGAACCAGTTTGGGATTCAAACAACAACAAAAAGACATCAATCATATTTCTCATTCAGCATTTAGTATATCATTACCAACCTTGGCAGGCATAAATGACATGTTTGGAGGTGATGCTGTTGAAGATGACGTTTTAAATTCAGACTGACAAAACACAAAGCTTCTATTTGTAATATAACCCCCACATGTGACACTGGGTCTCTAAGGGAATGTTTGAATCACTAAATCAGAATATTTTCTGTTAAAGGTTTCATATACAAATTGATTATAATCTATTTTTTAAGCCACACTTTAATGAAGTTGTTTGTGTGTGTGTGTTGTTTGGTAGTTGTTCTTTCTTTTTGGGATGAGGTGGGATTTTGTCTTCTGTTATTCCACTGTTAGGAAGCTCAGTGCTAGAAAATATAATGTTGCATCCAGGGAATTGTCTCAATATTTGGGTTTTCAAACTCCTTTATGAGATTACAGACAAATTTGCATTTATATTTAGTATAAAAAATTTGTTTTTCTCATAAAATTATATGCTCAGTCTATAAAACATATTATAAAAAGCATAAGAACATTTAACATTTTAAAATATACTTATGTGTTTTTTCTTATTTTCTCTATGTGTACTTTTTTCTGCAATGTTTTATATAGTCCTATGTTAAAAAGATTACTCAAAAACATGATTTTAATAGCTGCACAATGATCTATCACATAGATGTGTTATATGTTTTTTAATAAATCTTTTCTTTCTGAACATATGGAATGTTTCTAAAATTTTGCTGTTGTAAAACACATACACACACACACAAGGAAAACTCCTACATGGATAAGTCTACTTATAATATATCTATATCTGTACATGTTATTCTCTTGCCAAAGATGCCTAGAGATGAAATTTGTACACCAAAGTATATAAACCCCTTTGAAGGCTCTGGGAGCATATTGCTAAATTGCCCTCCAAGTCACCTGTAGCAATTAACATTCCCATCAGTGGCTGTTGTTACCTTGGCCTAGTCAATTTTGATTATCCTTACAATTTCTAAGCTGTGTCAATTTGATAGATGAAAAATGGGATCTTACCATATTTATTGTTATTTTTATTTCTCAATAAGAGGGAATGGGTTTTTTCATTTGTTAATTAGCCATTCATATTCTTCATTTTTGAATTGACTTTCTAATGCCTTTGCTTGTCATTGATTGCAAGATACTGATTTATAATGGCATATTTTTGGAGATACATATTCTAAGATCTTTTAAGTTTTATTTTTACTTTTGTCCATATATCTTTTTATTATTCTGTAGACAAATATAAATTCTTGAACTTATCCTTAATAACCTTTACCCATGATGTCATCATTTAAAAGTTTACCTTCATTTTCTTCTAGTTATTTTTTTCATTTATTTGTATAGCTAATTCTTTAATTTCTAGATTTTTTTATGTATTTTATTTGATCAACATTTAAAGTGTGTGTGTGTGTGTGTGTGTGTGTGTGTGTGTGTGTGTGTTGTACTTTGCAAAGTTGTTGGGGAGAGAGTATATAAAGTAACTTTTAGTCTATAAACTTATAGTTACTTTATACATGCTTTAATAAATAAATACTTTCTTTCATTGCCCTCTCAATAAGTTATTTACAATACCTTTAGTATAGGCCTCTCTTTTGTATATAGAATTTATAACATACATTAGTATATAAATATAACTATGCAATTATATAAATATCTATCTGCTGGTGAGAATTTATAGGCAAACAAAAATTCTAGCATTTATTGGAGTATCTCTGTTCCTTCTCTGTGTTGTTTTGTAATGCTTATTATATCCTATTACATATGATATATTATATATTACCATCTTATATATTACTTGTTCTGTTTCAGAACTACTTATGTTAGCTCACAGATCTATCCCATGTTACATCAAGAAATCACTCATTTAATTGTACTTTTCAATACAAATATTTCACACATATCTGATGATGAAAGTTCCTATTTTCCTTTTACAAAATAGATTCTCCAAATGTTTCCAAATAACTTAAAGGGTATTTTGTCAGTTATCAAGTAATTTTCCATTGGCGTTTTTAATGAGGTTTCAGCCAATGTACGAAGTATGTTGGACATGAATAATGAATCTTTTCCAGTCTTCCATTGTTTCACCCAGGAAAATTTTATTTCTTAATTTATCTAAATTTTCATAGCACTTAGAAAGTGTTATAGATTTGCTTATGTGAATTCTAGCCATTTCCCATTAGCATTGATTATTTCTACACACTTTAATTATTTACATTGTTTTATTAAAGAAAACTCAATACATTATATGTTCTAACTAGTTTTACTGATACATAGGAAATCTATTGCTTTTTTGTTTAGCTATTTTATTGGATTTTGTTATTAATTCCATTGCAGTTAATCTTCTAGATGCATTTTTAAAAATGGATATGATAACATCACTGCAATCATGTTGCTTCATTCTTTCCACTAGGTTTAAAACTTCTTACTTGTTCTTTTCTTTCTTTTTTTTTTCCTTTTGGCTTTAACTAGAACCTCCAGAATAATGTTAAACAGCAATTGCACTAATAAACTTTATTATATTATTTAAAAACTGGGTGGAATTCCACTATCTCTGTGTTTTCCAAAATATTATCCTTCGAACATCAGTCTCTGTAGATGGCTCTTGGAGTAAAGAATTCCATATTCACAAAAGTCTGTAAAACTTCTCATTAAAGGGTGATAATGTATTTTTGCATGTTGAAGACCTGAGAAATCATACAGTAAAAAAAAAATGTTGAATTTTGTTTTACTTCATTTTTTAACAGATCACAGAATTTTGATAATATTTTAGTTAAAAACCATTAGAATTCACATTTCATTGAACATCAGACATCAGTTCAAGCAAAGCTCCTTGTCCTACTTACCCAATTGAGGAAGCACTGAAGTTGGAAGGAGTGTTCTGCCCTGAGTACAGTCAATAAGGTGATACATTTTCTGAAAAAAACTTAAAAACAATAATGAAAGCTACAAAGAGCAGTGTCATTACCCCTTTATAGTTGTTTTCACTTCAAAACCTTTGGCTCGTCTTAAGTTCCAAACTGAGGTACTTGTTTCAGTATCTGTTGTGTCTTTGTGATACCTATTTAAGCTTCAAATTTACACATTCTCACTATATTTTAATATGCATTCTATTCCACATGGAAGTTAATTTCAAATCCTCCCATTTATATAGTGGGTCCCAACACATGCAGGTTTAGCTACATGTGTTTATCGGAGAGCTAATTGGTAAAGGCTAGAATGGCCTTTATTCCCTTTGGGTGACGTTTGTATCACTGTGGGGCTACATAGTCTTGCACATTTAAATAGTAAATTTGAAATAAACAACAACACAGTGGTAGTAAGGACGAAGAAAGAGAACTTGAGTTATTTATTACATCATTCATTGTCACTCTGGTGTTTTCATTTGTGTTTACAATTTTAATCAGTCAAAAAAGGTAGGCTGCAATATTAGCATTTGCTAGATGCAGATTTGAGTTTGTCTATGAAACATTTTGCTAAATTATAGAGCCACAAAAGTTGACATGCTTAACTATTATTGGGGTGGTAGAGCTGGACTTTTGTACCCCTGTATCAGTCAGCCACTGGCTGCAGGCTGGGGATGAGGCCCATTCCATTAGCTGCAAATCATTAGTAATGATTAGCAGGTCGTTCTCCAGAAAAGAAGGCAGCTGTTGGGCAGTTTAGCCCCAACCCTCATGGCAGCTGGGGGAGTTTACTAGCCTGCTTATGGGCTCTGAGTGGCAACGGAATGCACTGCAGGTTCAAACTGTTCTTCCCTTTTATTCTTTTGAAGAGCTCATCAATTATTTGTCAAGAAGACACTTAAGATAGTGACATCCTAATCTTTGGAGGCCAGGAATGTTACCTTATATGGCAAAAAGAAAAAGAAAAAAAAAGGGATGTTCGCAGGTGTGACTAAGACTCTTGAGATGGGGCGAAGAGCCTGGATTATTCAGGTGGGCTCTTTATGCAATCACACGCCCCCTTATAAAAGGGAGACGGAAGGCGCTCTTTACACAAGAAACATCGAAGGTAAGGTGATGAGGACGTGAGTCAAGGAATACTGGCCCCTGTTAGAAGGTGAAACGGACAAGGAGTGGGTTCTGTCTTAGCACGTCCTGAGTGAGCGTGGCCCTGCTAGCGTGTACCCTGACGCTGGCCACCAGAGCTGTGAAAGAATAAATTTTGTTGTTGCAAGCCACCCAATTTGGTATAACTTGTTACAGCAGCCACAGGAAAGGAATGCAGCAGCCCTGCAGATTCACAGGTAAGCAGCTCTGAAGGAGGTTGGTCTTTGTATTTTAGTAACTACATCTACATTTGTGCCGTGTCTGTGAATACCAAACTTTTTTCCTATATTCACAGATTTTTTTTTCCATTAGCAATTTTTTATTTGTACATATTGTTGGTGGTACACAAATGCATCTTACGATGTATTACTTTTTCATTGTGTATTTAATCTCTTGGATTCACTAGTCTATAAGGTCCTCTTGAGGAGCATGTACTTTGATAAAGGTGAAAAGAAAAGAAGTTTTAAATTCTACTAGTCCTGGTTCTGAATTTCGAATGTTAGGCAGGGTGCTTAATGTATTGAAGCTTCAGTTTCCTTCTGTGTAACCTAGTGGTGATGATAGTACCTGTGCTACAAGAGATAAGTGCGTAGACTAAAAGAGAAAATTAGTACAGAATGCCTGGCTCAGTTAGAGGGGCACATTGTTCAAAGGTCAACTGTAATTCAAGCTGCAAATTGATTGCAATATATATATTTTTTTATTTTAAAATAAAAAAAAATTATTGTGCAACTAATCGTTGAAATCGGATTCTGCAATGGCTGCCCTCTTGGAGTTAGGTGTTGCTCCTTCATGGAATCCATGCCTGAATCTGCGGTATACAATTTTTAGGTGCTTCATTAGACCAGTCCCGGTGGTATTTCGTCTTTTTGTCTTAGCCACTCCAGTTATGCTTTCTCTTCCGCTTGGCAAGATAGCCACATTTGCCACAGGTAGACTTCTGAAGGTGGTAGGCACACAGCGTGGCATAACGTGTGCCTGCAATCTTTTTTAACAACTGATATTTATAAAAAGTTACATACATTATGGTAGGGAAAATAGAGCTGGTCAGGCTCCCTCACCTGGCCATCCGGCGGAACTATGACCTGCCGGGTTGAGGAGGGTGGGATGAGCGCAGGCGCCGTGCACCCTATTTATGTATGCTCTGATATAAATGCCTTGGCTGTGTGCCACTTTTGTCTGTATAGTATAAAACCCGGCCATTGTACCAGGCGGGCGGTACCTAGAGCGTCGGTGAATAAAGTAATGTCTGTCTATTCTGCCTGAGGCTCCGCACACCTTCTCCCAGCTCCCAAAGGCGTGGGCACTCTCTACTGGGATTCCCTCACCCTTGGACAATTATTCACATACAAACATTACACATTGGAGTAAATGGTGATCTTGGGACGTATTTATAACTATGAGGACTGAAATATTCTTTCTTAGCCATATTATGAATCATTTCTGCATGATGGAGTTGTCAAAATCAGCTGTTAATAACATTTTTTAATCTAGTACTTACTTTGCAATCTGAACACAAAAATCAGTCAGTGGTAACTTGGCTTTGGATATACTCATACCTAGATGTGTGACATCTGTTTGGTTGTTTGGTGTGGTACAGATATTGCCGTCCGTTTTTGTATATGTGAACAGGCTTAGCTAATTAAGACTTAGTAGGCCCTAAAAATACAAGTGGCACACCCAGGCAAGAAGACTGTTTCTGGGCGTTACTAGATGGAGACACTTTGGCAAGAAAGAAAGGGGGAGGGGGGAAGTCAATCAGCTAAAAAGAAAGGCTACCTCAAAAAAAAATTGAAATAATTAGGGATCGAGTAATATCTGGTGGGCATTTTGGGGACTTAGTAAGTCTAGGACATGCTGGATATGTAGAAAAGCCTAAGGATCTCAAAAGGTATTTTTCATTGCTACAACATTTTTGTTTCCTTGTAAACTGAATAACAAGTGGTTTAGGGTGTGTCCTGTGCTGCTAGATCAAACTGACTTTTGAGGTACATTAACTACTCTAATTTAGTGCTAGACCCATTATGCGTGTTTATCCCAGGCCTACAAATGAGGTTCTTGTGTTGTCCTTGTTTGCCTGTGTAAAGTAATAGAATATGCAGTATAAATTTTCTTTCTTGCCCTCTCTCCCTGTGTCCCTCCCTCCCTTCATATAGATGAGGTCTGACAGTTAAGTTCACGAACTCATCCTAGAAAAAGTGCCACATACGTCATTGCTGAATATCACTACGGTCACCTCTGAAGCACTCCCCTTGGGAAGCTATGCACCAACACCAGCGCCTAGTCCACCCTTCAAATCAATCTTGGAACTCTTTCTGGAATGGCCATCAGAGCTGTCATCATATTACCCTTAATGTCATCAAAATGTCTTCCTTGCAATATTTCCTTTATCTTCGGGTAAAGAAAGAACTCACTGGGGGCCAGATCAGGTGAGTAGGGAGGGTGTTCCAATACAATTATTTGTTTACTGGCTAAAAACTCCCTCACAGACAGTGCTGTGTGAGCTAGTGCATTGTTGTGATGCAAGAGCCATGAATTGTTGGAGAAAAGTCCAGGTTGTCTAACTTTTTCATGGAGTCTTTACAGCACTTCCAAATAGTAAACTTGGTTAACTGTCCAGTTGGTACAAATTCATGACGAATAATCCCTCTGGTATCAAAAAAGGTTAACAACATTGTTGCAACAAGTTTGTGAACTTAATTGTCAGACCTCTTGTAAACTCTGCCCCAGTTCCCGGCACAGAGCTGTTAACATCCTTGTAATTTCCTAAGTGATCAATCAGAGCACTACACTAGGAGCATCTTTTGTTCTAATATTTGGCCTTTGACCCCAATTTCTAACAGGTGTTCTAAATCTCTTGGAATTTCCTGGGTAATAAAAGTGTCCTTTATTCTAATGACACTGGCCCTTGGTGGGCTCCTGGATGGAGGATAGTCACCAGAAAGATGGAGCCATGATTAAAAGCTTGGAATTTCAACCCCAGGCCCTGTTCTCCAGAGAGGGGAGAGGGACTCGAAATTGAGATAATGATCAAACATGCCTACATGATGAAGCCACCATTGAAAACCCAAAGGCCCAGGGCTCAGAGAGCTTCTGAGTCGGTGCATCCATCTTCCTGCACCAGGAATGTGGCGTACCCCAACTTCCCAGGGACAGAAGCTCCTGTCCTGGGGAGAGTCTATATTCCTTTTCATATCCTTCATTACGTAATAAACTGGTAAAGGGAAGTGTTTCCCTAGTTCTGTGAGCTGTTTAGCAAATGTTCGAACCCAAGGGAGGGGGGCATGGGAAACCCAATTTATAGCTGGTCAATCAAAAGCACAAGTAATAACCTGGGACTTGTGATTGCCATCGGAAGTGGGGGAGCAGCCTTGTGGGCCTGAGCCCTTAACTTGTGGGGGTCTGAGGCTATCCCAGGGGGATAGTATCAGAATTGATTTAAATTGAAGGATAGTCAGCTGGTGCCAGAGAATGGCTTGATGTGTGAAAAACCCACACACCTAGTGCCAGAAGTATTGTATTAAGTGTGTGGGGGGGGGGACAAAAAACAGAGGCATGTGTTTCTTTACACCCTGCACATTTTGACCAGTAGCAAATGTGTGTCTGTGTGCGTATAATATTTATACGTGTATGCATGTTGTACCTTTTATAAATAAACACTAGGCTATACCATGAATGCCAAGAATTTATTGAGAACTTGGTAAGGGGAAGCGTTAATTTTTAAAGGTTACATATCCGTTTACAGACTAAAAAAAGTTCTTATACACTATATTATTGTGTTCCTTCCAACAGTTCCAGGAAAGCAAATTTATTTCTGACTTGTTCCAAATCTCAAAAATGTTATGACTTCTCCTAAGTTGTGAAACTCATAAAT